GAGCGGATGGCGGTTCGACATCGAGATGTCGTTCTCGCTCACACGAAAGAGCTGGGGTTAAGACTTAATGCCAAGAAAAGTGTGCTTTCTCCAGTACAGAGAACCACTTATCTGGGCGTGGTGTGCTTGGGCTGATGACAGCTGCGTCCAACGTGATAACTCTTGGCCTGCTGTACATGAGACCCCTACAGTGGTGGCACAAGAACAAGGGGTTCTCCCCGAGGGGAAACCCGCTTCGCATGCTCAAGGTCACGCGGAGGTGCCTACGTGCCTTAGACATGTGGAGGAAACCTTGGTTCTTGTCTCAGGGCCCGGTGCTGGGAGCTCCTTGTCGCCGCGTATGCTAGCGACGGATGCATCCCTCACCGGTTGGGGTGCGGTCATGAGTGGCCACCCTGCCCGCGGTCTGTGGAGTGGTCACCATCTGATGTGGCATATCAATTGTCTGGAGATGCTGGCCATGTTTCGAGTTCTGAAACACTTTCTCCCAGACCTAAGAGGTCACTATGTGTTGGTGCGTACCGACAACACAGCGGTGGTCTCTTACATAAACCACCAGGGAGTTCTGCGTTCGCGCCCCTTGTACAAGCTGGCGCACCAGATACTTGTGTGGTCCCAGGGCAAGCCACGTTGTAGGTTGTGTGTTCCTCCCTGAAAAAAGCCTCTCGCTGAGAGCAGTTCACATTCCTGGGCATCTTAATATGGGAGCAGACATCCTGTCGAGGCAGGGGCTGAGGCCCGGGGAATGGATGCTTCACCCCAAGGTGAAACCCCCAATAAGCGCTACATAAATAACGGTGACTTGACGACTTTATTTGTTTGCAAACATTTTGTTTAACTTGTTTAGTCTTTTTTAAGTTCATTAAACAAATGTTTAAAATAAATTTTGCAGTTGTATTACAAATGTAATGTTTGACAACTGGAGCACTTTAAAGGGATAGTTCGTGGGGTTCACCCAAAAATATTTGTTAATAAATACTGTTACCAATTAATATACTGACCCTCAGGCCATCCCAGATGTCAGTGTCTTTTTTTCTTCAGTAGAACAGTAAAGATGTTTATCTGAAACGGTGATCCTTGGCGATTCATACACTCCACGTCGGTGGCTGCCGGTTTTTGAAGGTCAAAAAAGCATACAGACAAGATCGAATTAATATCACAGAGTGACTGTTTTGCTTAATAAGACCTCAATGTGTCATCAGGTGATTGGTAACCACTGGTAATTTGGTCTTGTTTGTATGTTTTTTTGGCTCGCAAAATCTGGCAGCCACAGATGTGCAGTTTATGAATTGGTAAAGAAAATGGTTTCACCTAAAATCTATCACCTACTGTTCTACTGAAGAAAAAAGTCCTCTACATCTTGGATGGCCTGAGGGTCAATTAACAGCAAATTTTCATTTTTGGGTTAACTATTCCTATATAGCCTGCATGTTTAGTCTGTATGGCAAATGTTATAAATGCAGATTGTTATTAAATAAAGGTGATTATGTTTTGCAATGTGTGTGCTTTTAGTGAATGATAGACACCAGTTTATAATTTTGTTAAACTCAGTATAAAATGTAATAACTAGTTCAACAGCAATTTCTTACGATGCCCAAATAATAAATCTTAATTAATGTAACATATGAAACACATGGAGTAAATGGTTACATTTTAATTGACATCATTTGCTGTAGTTTTCTAAATATTCAACCAATTAAAACATTTTAGTTGAATGGACTATAAAACTAGTTCAGTAATGTTTGAGCCAACTAAAAAATAATTCAGGTAAGACTTTAAAGAGAGAAATTGACTGAACGTCAAAAAAATCTGTTGAACTAGTTACTAAACAATACTTAGTAGAAACAGCCATCAAAGATAACATAATCCTATTTTTCTAGTGAAACTAGCCTTCAGTTACAGATGAAAATTACACACTTGTAGCACTCAAATTCACTTAAAACCATGTTCAAACACAGTATCACAAACACTCATTTACAGGTCAGAGAGATGTCACTTCAATTTTTGCTTTATTTCCACTATAGGTCACTGTTCTCTGCCATGATTTTCCTCTTTAAAAAACGTATATGTTTTTCTTTTTTCTTATTGTGCTGTTTTATTTTCATTTACATCATCAGCTGCACAAACAACAACTCCACCAACATCAAATGCACCAACATCAACCACTCTGTCAACAACAACTGAAACCACCTCAGCATCAACCGCACCAACATCTACCACTACATCAACAACTACTGCACCAACATCAACCACTCTACCAACAACTGCTGCACCAACCTCACAATCAACTGCACCAACATCTACCACTCCATCAACAACTGCTGCACCAACATCTACCACTCTACCAACAACTGCTGCACCAACCTCACAATCAACTGCACCAACATCTACCACTCCATCAACAACTGCTGCACCAACATCTACCACTCTACCAACAACTGCTGCACCAACATATACCACTCCATCAACAACTACTGTACCAACATCAACCACTCTGTCAACAACTGCTGCACCAACATCTACCACTCCATCAACAACTACTGTACCAACATCTACCACTCTACCAACAACTGCTGCACCAACCTCAACATCAACTGCACCAACATCTTGCACTCCATCAACAACAACTGCACCAACCTCAACATCTACTACTCCATCAACAACAACTGCACCAACCTCAACATCAACTGCAGAAACATCCACCACTCTAACAACAACTGCTCCAACATTTATCACTCTACAAACAACTGCTGCTCCAACCTCAATATCAACTGCAGCAACATCCACCACTCTATCACCAACAACTGCACCAACCTCAACATCAATTCCACCAACATCTAACAGACTACCAACCACAACAACAACTGCACAAACATCCGCCACTCTATCAATAACTGCTGCACTAACAACTGCACCAACATCTAGCACTCTACCAACAACTGCTGCACCAACCTCAACATCAAATGCACCAACATCTACCACTCTACCAACAACTGCTGCACTAACCTCAACATCAACTTCACCAACATCTACCACTCTGCCATCAACTGCTGCACCAACCTCAACAAAATCTGCTGCACCAACTTCAACATCAACTGCACCAACATCTACCACTCTGCCAACCACTGCTGCACCAACCTCAACATCAACTGCACCATCATCTACCACTCTGCCAACAACTGCTGCCCCAACCTCAACAACATCTGCTGCATCAACCTCAACATAAACTGCACCAACATTTACCACTCCATTACCAACTAATGCAACAACATTTACCACTCTACCAACAACTGCTGTACCAACCTCAACATCAGCTGCACCAATATCTACCACTCTGCCAACAACTGCTGCACCAACATCTACCACTCTACCAACAACTGCTGCACCAACCTCAACATCAACTGCACCAACATCTACCACTCTGCCATCAACTGCTGCACTAACCTCAACAACAACTGTACCAACATTTAGCACTCTGTCAACAACAACTGCACCAACATTTACCACTCTACCAACAACTGCTACACCAACCTCAACATCAAATGCACCAACATCTACCACTCCATCTACAACAACTGCACCAACCTCAACATCAACTGCACCAACATTTACTACTCTACCAACAACTGCTGCACCAACCTCAACATCAACTGCAGAAACATCTGCCACTCTAACAACTGCTCCAACATTTACCACTCTACCAACAACTGCTGCACCAACCTCAACATCAACTGCAGAAACATCTGCCACTCTAACAACTGCTCCAACATTTACCACTCTACCAACAACTGCTGCACCAACCTCAACATCAACTGCAGAAACATCTGCCACTCTAACAACTGCTCCAACATTTACCACTCTACCAACAACTGCTGCACCAACCTCAACATCAACTGCAGAAACATCTGCCACTCTAACAACTGCTCCAACATTTACCACTCTACCAACAACTGCTGCACCAACCTCAACATCAACTGCAGAAACATCTGCCACTCTAACAACTGCTCCAACATTTACCACTCTACCAACAACTGCTGCACCAACCTCAACATCAACTGCAGAAACATCTGCCACTCTAACAACTGCTCCAACATTTACCACTCTACCAACAACTGCTGCACCAACCTCAACATCAACTGCAGAAACATCTGCCACTCTAACAACTGCTCCAACATTTACCACTCTACCAACAACTGCTGCACCAACCTCAACATCAACTCCACCAACAGCTACCACTCTACCAACCACTGCTGCACCAACCACAACAACAACTGCACAAACATCCACCACTCTATCAACAACTCCACCAACATCAACATCTACTCCACCAACATCTACCACTCTACCAAGAACTGCTGCACCAACCTCAACATCAACTGCAACAACATCTACCACTCTACCAACAACTGCTGCACCAACCTCAAAATCAACTGCACCAACATCTACCACTCCATTAACAACAACTGCACCAACCTCAGCAACAACTGCACCAACATCTACCACAATATCAACAACTGCACCAACCTCAACATCAACAGCACCAACATCTACCACTCCGTCAACATCAACTTTACTAACATCTACCACTCTACCAACAACTGCTGCGCCAACCTCAACATCAACTGTACTGACATCTACCACTCCATCGACAACAACTGCACCAACCTCAGCAACAACTGCATCAACATCCACCTCTCTTTCAACAACAACTTCACCAACCTCAACATCAACTGCACCAACATCTACTACTCTACCAACAACTGCTGCACCAACCTCAACATCAACTGCACCAACATCTTCCACTCAATCAACAACAAATGCACCAACCTCAACATCAACTGCACCAACATCTACCACTCCATCAACAACTGCTGCACCAACCTCAACATCAACTGCACCAACATCTACCACTCCATCAACAACAACTGCACCAACCTGCACCAACATCTACCACTCCATTAACAACAACTGTACCAACATCTAGCACTCTGTTAACAACAACTGCACCAACCTCAGCAACAACTGCACCAACATCTACCAGAATATCAACAACTGCACCAACCTCAACATCAACAGCACCAACATCTACCACTCCATCAACATCAACTTTACTAACATCTACCACTCTACCAACAGCTGCTGCGCCAAACTCAACATCAACTGTAATGACATCTACCACTCCATCGACAACAACTGCACCAACCTCAGCAACAACTGCATCAACATCCACCACTCTTTCAACAACAAGAACAACTTCACCAACATCCACCACCCTACCAACAACTTCTGCACCAACATCAACTGCACCAACAACAACTGTACCAACATCTACCACTCCATCAACAACTGCACCAACCTCAGCAACACCTGCACCAACATCCACCACTCTATCAACAACAACTGAACCAACATTTCCCTCTTCATCAGCAACTGCTGCACCAGCCTTAACATCAACTGGACCAACATCTACCACTGTAGTTACAACAACTGTACCATTCTCAACATCAACTGTACTAACATCAACATCACTTGCACCAACATATACCACTCTACCAACAACTGCTGCACCAACCTCAGCAACAACTGCACAAACATTCTACCAACCACTGCTGCACCAACCACAACAACAACTGCACAAACATCCACCACTCTATCAACAACTCCACCAACATCAACATCTACTCCACCAACATCTACCACTCTACCAAGAACTGCTGCACCAACCTCAACATCAACTTTACTAACATCTACCACTCTACCAACAACTGCTGCACCAACCTCAACATCAACTGCACCAACATCTACCGCTCTACCAACAACTGCTGCACCAACCCCAACAACAACTGCACCAACCTCAACGTCAACGCCACCAACATCTACCACTTCATCAACATCAACTTTACCAACATCTACCACTCTACCAACAACTGCTGCACCAACCTCAACATCAACTTCACCAACATCTACCACTCTACCAACAACTGCTGCAC